TGCAAAGAGTGTAAAGTTAATTTACAGACATGTTAGAAGACCATCGATACTTTTACTTATTTTAAAGATTTTATTTATGTACAAAGAAATGTTATTGAATTTCTTTCAAAAATTCTTGAAATAGTTTCACAACTTTTGGGTCATATTGACAACATAATTCAAAAAATTAAACTTTTTTGCCAGACCATGTTGATTTTAAATGGTTTACATCAGAGGCGACTCGTGGCCTAGTCTATGAGGAGACTACTTTTAAAAGGCACACCCTATATACTTAATAAAATTATATGTCTATAAGAATTCAAAAAGCAGAAATATTACATTGTATTCTAATAGAAATATATATTTGTATAAAGTATATAGGATAAGCCAGCTTCCGAACAGACTAGGCCACAAGCCGTCTCTGGTTTACATATAAAGAACATAAAACAGACGTCTTTTCTCATTTCGTTGAAACTTGTCTACTATTAATAATAAGAAAGTATTATAATGCAATTTCTAAAAGACAAACAAAATTATTTGAAGTTACTGCATTTAATTTTTTTCTGTTTCAGTTAATATGGATGGTTGCTTTTGTCTGATTTCCTAAGATTCAAGAAGAATTTGTTGTTTTGTTTTTTGTTTATTTTAAAAATTTATTTACTTAGGCATTAGTTTTCATATCAAGTAAATTAATTATTTGTTATGCAATTTCTGATTTTTGTTAGCCAGAGATTCTTAACTTACCGAAATAGTAATGTAATGTTTGTGATATTAGAGTAACTTTCTTAAAGAATCATTTATAAGACGTCCGGGAGCGCCATAGTAAATAATAATAATAATAGACATTCTTGCTTCGCATAAGCTCGCTTGTATGGGGGTGAAGTGCATGAAAAAATTTTTTTGTATTGCCATCTCTTTGATATATTTTTTATTTATTTTTCTTGGGAATTTTTAGTAAATATAATTATATAAAACTTTGTATGATATTTATTTTATCCCTCATAATTATTTGTCATAGAATTTTACATTTTTATTGGGCATTTCATAATTGTTACAAATAGCTAATAAAAAAGGAAAATTTTAATTATAATTAAGAGGAAAATTTACTTAAGCAATTATCGTTTTCTAAACAATACGAAATAGAGCCACAAATATTTCTATAGTTTAATTTTACTTTTTAGTGAATGAAAAATATATACCTTCAGGTAAAAGTGAAATATCTGTTTTTCTGGAGCCACTATTCCGAAATTTGATTTAATTATTTTCTCAATTTTTGAAATCTTTATAAAAACAAAATTTTGCGATTTACTGCCATCAAAATTTGATTAAATTTTGAAAGAGGAACATATTTTAGCTACACGTACATGTTTTTTATTTCACTAAAAAATTAAAAAAATTACTATCAAACTTTTGTATGGCTATATTTCGTATTAGTTAGAAAATAATTGCAAAAGTAAACAGGCTAGGGGATCTTTAATAGGGAAATGCTTACTCGTGTTGTAGTACTGTGCACCACCCATAGATGGCGCTACTTACACAAAGTTTGCTTATTGCATTCGTCGAGCAGATTCAGAGTGTATTCAGAGCACGTTCAGAGTAACGCAAGTGTACGCAAGTTGTTATTTAAAACTTTCAAAAGCTAAAAAAACGCTATTAATGGCAATAATGGTAATGGTTGATTTGTTTTATTAGGTTAGTTTTTCGAAGATAATTTTTAAAGCTTTAAACATATATAATTATGGTGCGAATTCGTCCTTGTGCTGATCCAGATTGTCAGGATAAAGTTAGTCGCAGGTAAGGAATACATTTACAATTTTATTTCTTTACAAGTAAAAACTTCTTTTTGTATTTTATTCTTAAATACTTTCCAAATTTTAAGAGCATATATTATTACTTAAAAGTACCCAATTTGTGAAATAAATTTCCAAAATAATGCGGGTAACCTAATGTTTTCTAGGAAAAATTAAAAATCTTAACCAAACTTTTATCATTTTCTATACAATTTCAGTAACTAGATAAAATATGTGAATATTAAGAAGATTGAAATAAATAGTGTTACTAGTATTTTTTTAGAATTATACAATATGTAATGGATACTTTCTAGTAGATACCTATATACAATTTTTTTTTCGAATTCAAAATGAGGTACTTTTCAAACATACCAATAATTGTATATTTTATATTGTGCGACTCTTATTATTTTTTGCTCCATATACTGTGACCTACCTCACCTAGGTATCTTCACAATTTATTGATTCCAATTAATAAAAGTTGCATTCTTACTAAATTCAAATTCCTTCATTTTATTAAAAAATCTTCTACGATATATTTTTAAGAAATGCCGATTCATTCTCACTAGCTAATAACTTAATAGCTCAGCTGAATTGACTCAAAACAAAAATAATAAAATTGAACTTTATATTTTTTAACTGATACTCTTCTTCATTTTTTACATGAAAACGAATCAGCAAACACTGCAATAGGAAGTGACAAGTACACCCAACAGCAGCCAGAGCCAACTTTCCCCAGGAACTTTCGTTACAACTTCTACTGGATACAACCATGGGTGAACTTCGCAATAGGTTTATATTCATATTTCTTTATTATTGTGTACTGTAATAAGAATTCGTGCAATTTTATTTCTAATAATAAAAAATATATGGTTATAATCGTGTTTTATTTCATAATAAGATGTATTTTTTGTTCCATAAATCCAAAATTATAATTTTTCGTTTTCTTTTTAACTTAAAATATTTCAAATTTTATCTATCACAGAACATAACCCAATGGATTATATCCATCTAAGTATGTTGAGTGAAGAATAAAATGTTTGAATCATTTTAAGTAAAAAAGAACGAAAAATTATAATTTTGAAAACTTAGTAGTGGTTTATTAGAAAGGCCGAGTTTGAAAAACCCGCGCTCATTGACCCCTACCGCCATCTATATAATAAATCTTGAACAAATTTTCAATTATTAGTTATCTTCTTTTTTTTTAACTCAACTATTTGCAACCGCTACGGATGGCGCTGAAAGATGAGTAAAATTTTCCACTGTTGAGTGGCCCATCTTTAAAGGGTATGGTCTGTGAAAGTAAATTCTCCTTTAAAAAAACCCGCCAATTTTCAAATTAAATATAAAATTACGGGTAACTGCATTACCGACAGAGTAAGAGTTGATGGTAATACTGCTGGTAACTACATTACCGACAGAGTAAGATTAGTTCTACTCCTCCACCCCACAGGTCGTTGCAATCAAACATGTTGCCAAATTTCTACAAAGAAACGGCAACTCTTAATAATCCTTCCTCCATGGGACAGATATAATTCTAAAAAGAAACTTATATAAATAATCCTCAAAATTCCTTAATAATACATAAAAAAGAAAAAAAAGTAAAATGTATGGAGTTTCCGCAGATAAATTTGAAGATTACTATCCTTCCTAAAGCCTAAAACGTAAGTTTTGAAAAAAAATTTGGATTATTAAGAGAAGGGCGTCTTCCCAATAATTACCGATATTCATTATAATTAAAAATTGTGACCATCTGTTCTGTAATGTTTAAAGTGACCATAGGTCCCCCATTGAGAGGGACAGAGAGGCCCCCATTCTTGACAAGTACCCCCCTTTGATACATTAAATACATAAGAAAAAATAACTATGTTTAACGGAGGTGGCACAGGAAATCAGTGGCTTAATATTAATATAGAAAAAAAAAACTTAAAGAATACATTGCCCTTTGTATAAGAAATTAGACTACAGAAAAATTGCAGCTAGGTGTGGAAATCCTAAAAGATATTTTGGTGGTGAAATTCAGTATTGATAAAACTTACAAATTAAACTTATTCTAACAATTACAGAATTTTACTAGGAACCTGAACAATGGAAATAAACATAAAGTTTTAAGTTTCTTTTATTATTTATACTAAATTATAAAAGTATATCAACTAATTTATTTAAAAGGATATTTTCACCCAGTCTATGTTAAAATGGGACCAAGGCTGTTGAATGATAATCGGTGATGGATATCAGTATCTATTCAAAATATTCACCACCCTTCTTTTCATACTTTTGAACAGTTTCTCCTCACTTATTATTTGTATTTAATTTAATATAACTCCTCCAGTACATAAACATCATGTAAACGATTTTGAATTCAACAATCCACCACATTCCATACTTTTAACAAAATCATTACTTATGGCCAGTTCCTGCCAACATACCTAAAACAATGATGATTAGAGTTTTTAACTTGTACGAGAGTCAGTCTCCGAAATGCTGTTCCTACCTGCTATTTTTTTAACAGACTTCAAAAAAGGAGTAGAGTGGTACTCAATTCATTAGAATATTTTTTTATGTATGTTCAGTAGTATTTACCATGTCCGATTTCTACAATTTCTTCTCTGTTAGAAAGGGGGTACCTTTAGTTTGGTCCTTTTTAAATGTGGTCAAGATCTGATGATGAGATCCATAAAAAAACAGGGTTCTTCATTTTTAGAATCGGTTTTTTAAATTTACTTTTATAACTTATATTACTCACTGATGTATTGGGAATTTGCACCTTGGGAATTTAAACCATGTGAATTTGCACATCTTCAACAGCTTCTGATATTATTGGAGGCTTTCCAAAGGTCTTTCCTTTACAAAACGTTGAACAAGTATTTGTAACATTTCTTTCTTTTGAAAACTGAAGTATGTATTTTTAACTGTGCTTTAAAAAGTGCCTTTCTGTTTTTATTTTGTCCTTCATGTTTTTCTAACAGTGTTATATTAATTTAAAATAGCTAACACAAAAAATAACAACAAACTGTCAATACAAATTCGCAACCAACCGTGCAACCAACTATTTTCTATTTACATTTCGAGAAACGTCATAGATTACGTCACAAATTACAACCGCTGTCAAATTTTAGTAGGACCGCTGTCATTTATTTGTCAACCGGAACCGCTCGCTCGAGCTAAATCGAAAAAGGCTTAATAGATTTAAAACTTTATTATGACAATTGACATAAATGACAGAGTAAAGTGAATCTTCAAAAAAATTATACCAAACAAAACCTGACTTTTTGTTTTCAGTCTTTGATTATTATATTTAATTAATAATTTGATTTTTTCTTGTTAAAAAAATGGACGTGAAACAAGACAAATACCATTTCGATCCTTCTGACGATTTTAATGAAACGGAACTAGAAATTGGTACCATTAAAATTGATCAAAATGAGTTTAAGAGAAAACAACGAACGTTTAAAAACGAACATGGTGATGTTAGTGATAAGACATTCAATGATGAACAATTCCCACATATTGATGCAATTAAAAACGAAATTATCGAATGCGAAATGCCTAAAACTGAACATTTGTATTTGCCGATAAAACTTGACAAAGACACTGTTTCCGAAAACGTACAAATGTTTCCTAAAACTATTAAACAAGAACTTGAGAACACTAGTGATGTTACATTGACAGAAATCAAGAAAGAAGTTGATGAATGTATTATTCAACCAAAAACTGAGAGTGTAGTGAGTGAACTGCTGACTTCTCATTGTGATCTACCAACTTTAAAAATTGAACGTACTGATTATTATCCGGATAATTATTTGGACCATGCATATAGTCATAAGCCCTTAAAAAATACCTCTCAAGTTTTTTTAAAGAAGAAGCGGAGCTATGCCTGTCCTATCTGCCAGAATAGTAAGTGTATTTATGATATAATTTCGTTACCTTCTAACGTTCTAACTCCATGCATAATAACTTTACAAGAGAAGCAAAAAACTTTCTTCTAATACCTAAATGAAACAGTTTTTTGTTTCTCCTGTAAAATTATTACATACGGAGTTAGAAGGTTTACATGTTAAGGTAATGATTTAATAGAGCCATTTTTGCTCACTTCTAAATAAGTCAATCACTGTTTTGTTTAATCGAACATGCCTAAATATTACTTCTTTGTCTAAATAGATAATGGCCCTTCTTTTTCTATTACTTTCTATAAAAATACATCTTCACAACAAAAACATTTTTTTCGTCACTAAAAGAAATGTTTCACCTCTAGTTAAAAAAAACCCCAGACTCTGTATTGATTTTGGGCCTATCGTCAAAATTTGTTTAAATTTGAGTATGATAGGTATTACTCAGATAGGTAATAACCTCGGTAATTATATACTTAAAAACAACCTTTTTATATGATGATAAACTCTCGAATGGAATTTTTTTTTTTAAATCAAATTTATTTAAATTATATAATAAATATAAATAATTCCATTATTTAGCTCCAAAGCTCATACATATATCGACATGAGTAAGAAAAATTAATAGTTTGTCTGAAAATTTACAACAGTAAGTAAAAGAAAGTTTTTAAAATGCAATTTTTTCTTTTTTAAGACTTAAGTACATATATGCTTGAGCTATGGGAATCATCTTTCAGCAGAGCTTAATTTGCTTTATTATAAAGGAATTATTGTTTTTTCTTGAATATGTCAGTAAAATGAGGCATTTTCATGGCTAGATAAAGCAAGGCACTGAACAGAAATCATTTTTTAAATGGTAACATATTATTGTAAAACATGTTAATTCATTCTTAAAATCTAATTATCTTTTGATAAATGTTTGCATGCGATAGCAAACAGAACAGTTTGTCTTTTATTGCTCCTATAATTTTTTAAAAGTAAACAGTTATTTCAAGGTTAACATATAAGTGAATTATATCAAAACAGGAAGAATAAATTACTGAAGTAGTGATGTGACTTGTTCTTGCATAAAAGTGCAATAGAAGGAAAATACTGCAGTTAAAAAAAATAGTAATACCTAAAATTCCATTTAAAATGCAAAAAAACTAGATTGATAAATAGAAAGCTCAACAAAAAAAGTGTTGTGATAGGAAAAAGTGGTGTCCTTGGCAGTGGAGTGTCGTTAAAAAAGGATCTTAATTTAATTTAAGTAAATTAATGTGGTATATAAACTAAAATGGAATGCTCAATATGCAAGAAAATTCAAAAGCCAATAAAAGAACAAAAATCCTTGTTTTGCAAAAACTTTTGTGGATGCAAAAATTTAATATGATTTTATATAATTTAATTGCAAAAATGCAGAAGTTTTGATATGATGGAAATCTTGCAGAATACCATTAATGATAAATCCAAGATAATAAATGATCAAGAAATAATAATTGAATTACTTAAAGAGAAAATTAATAACTTGGAAAAAATACAACAAAATAATCAAACATATGCTACTACCCTAAAAAGTAACCAAGTAAAAGCACCGGCCAATCTTCCCTCTACAGCTACACCTACTTTAATTATTAAGCAACCAAAAAATCAGTGTGTGGAAAAACCAAACAAGAAATAAATAATGTTATGCCTACCAAACTCAAAATAGGATTAAAAGATTTCAAACAAACAAAACAAGGTGATATTATTATAAAATGCCAAACCAAGGAGGAAATTGAAACTCTAAAAAATGCTGTAGAGAAAAATCTGGGAAGTGAATACTCTACCAACTTACCAAAAAAAGGAATCCTAGAGTAAAAATAGTAGGGTACACTGGAAAGGACAATGAAAATGAAATCGAAAACAAAATAAGAAACCAAAACAACTGGATACTAAAAGTTACATATATAAAAAAAATGGTAAACAAAAACACCTCTATCATTTTTATTAAATATTCTCCAAACTTTTACCATAAAGCCATGAATGCTCAAAAATTTTTTATGAACTGGGAACGCTATCCAATTTCTAGTCCAATTTATAAAGACTTAAGTCTTCCCAGGTGTTACAACTGCCAGGGCTATCAATATAAAAGTGCAAACTGTTTTAAAAAAATAGTTTGTGGAAAGTGCTCAGGTGAACACGACTGGAACATTTGTAATGATGATAATAAAAAGTGCGTTGACTGTGTCTTTGCAAACCAACAGTACTCTTCTGGATATGATTGGAATTATGAAGCCCCTGGCCCGAACTGTCCGTCAACTCTTACTACACAAAAATTCTTAGAAGTAGAATCTATTATGGAACTAGCTAATGGTACAACTACAACTTGAGGATATTATGAAAGACATTGATGAAGAAGAGGCACATATACGACAGTAAATGAAAACGAATTACATAAATCTATTAAATTAAATAATAAGGTAGGTATTAAATTTATTGCATCTTCACATTAGAAGTGCTAATATGAACTTTGATAACTTCATTCTCATAATTCAAACATATAATCTTTATTTTGTTGATATTTTTATTCTAAGTGAAACTTTCAGAGATACATGTATTATTAATTGTAATATTCCAGGTTATAAAACATATTTTAATGATGCTAACTATAACAGGAATGATGATGTCAGAAATGATATCAGGACTGAATTCTCTATTCTAAAATTTTCATTATCTAAAGCAACGTTAGGACGATTAGAATGTTATGTAGGGGGTAAGTTCAATAGGTATTAATTCAATGTAGGTATAAACCAACACCAATTCCAAAAGGCAGAGTAGAGAGTAAGCCACTTGAGCGCACTGGAGAGTGAAGTTAGCTACGCATTCTTCTTCTTTTTTTCTGAACTGTCAACTGGCCTCAAACTTCTCATACAAACAGCCAATCATAGAACGTGAAGTTGGCTAAGAATCTTTTTTTCTGGGCTGTCAACTGTCATTAGCTAAGAATCTTCTTCTTTTTTTCGGAACTGTCAACTGTCATTCTTCTTTTGTGGCCTTGAACTTAACGGACAATCATCAAACAGGGGGCTCCGCCCCTCAAAGCAAATTGGGGCCCCAACCCTTCTAGTGTCTCATACATAACCTCAAAATCGACATCGCCAGAAAAGCCACAGATAAATACAACGTCGCACAAGAAAAGCCCTAGAGCCCCAGTATTTTATAAATTGCATTACAGACATCGAGCACAAGAAAAGCCCTAGAGCCCCCCCAGTATTTTATAAATTGCATTACATGAAGTAGATGGCAAGTATTTCCAAAGACATAGAGCGACAGAAAAGCCCTAGGCAACGCAGGGCCCCCAGAGCGGCCCCCACATCGATAGATAGAATTTATAAATTAAATAAATTTAACTTTATCGTTTATATGTATAAAACTTCGTCGTATAAAACTAGAATTACCGAAAAACGTCTTATGAACGGTAGACAACGTAGACCTATTTAAATAATTAGGCAACACACATGACACCACGAAACATCGCATTTTGCCACGACACTTCGATCACAGAACAATTACTTTTAGAATGGAAACTGCAATGTTAAAATTTGAGACAGTTTTGTAACACCCGGTGTGCGTTCTTTGAACTATTTGGCGGAAGTGGCGCCATCTCGCGGTCACTTTAGTTAACACAAAACGCGGGAACATTCAAAATGGTCCTTCAATATTTAGTTTAAAAGTGGTAGTCAAATTAAGATTTGTTCATACCAACTCCTTTTTTACGTTTATTGTAGCAATAAAATTATATTTGTTACAATAAAGCAAAAAATGAGTAGTATGAACCAATCCTAACTTGACTACAAGTTGAAATATTTTTACAAAAAATTAAAAAGCATGATCAACAAAATTAATTTATTAAAACAAAAAAAACATACAAAATAGAATAATTAAATGTAGCGTATTAATTAGCTGGAAAGTTAAGTCATTGTCCACAGAGGTCGAAGAGTTTTATCTAAAACAAAAAATAAATATTAATCAACTTATAAATCAAGAAGGGTACAGGAAGAAAAAAGGAGCTAAGCCACATTTTTATCAAAATTGAACTGGCCCGCCCTATTTTGTAAAATACCAGTATTAGCAAATGCAAAACAGTGCATTTAAAATTATGTCCAAGGACTTTCCTACTGTTTGTTTGTCATTTTTAGTATTTAGAATAAAAAATTACAACTGTCTGGTAAATTAAGTGGTAAACTACAATATAATCAGGCAACATTTAAACAAAGTAACATCTTTTTGTAATCAATTACCTTAAAGTATCAAAAGTTTGTATTTAGTCAGTCTAAATTAAATTTGGTTTTCTGAACATTTTGGTAATTGTGACTAGGCCCCTTTTTTTCCTGAACCCTTCAAATCTGTTGGGGAGCACAGAAAGTGAGGCATAAATAAAAAAAGGTATACTGACCATTACTTCCCGGACTATGCTATTTTGTCTTCCACAATCCAATATTGCCATTCCAAACGGATTGAAGAAAGTTTGTACTAGAACAAATACAAAAACAGTAAAAGAAACAATCTGAACTAAATCAATATAAAAATCAAATGTGAGGCATGAATACAAAAAGTACAGTGACTATTACTTCCCTGACTAGGCTGTTTTTGTCTTCAACATTGCAATACTACTGCTACTTCAAACGGCTTGAAAAAGTTTGTACTAGAACAAATAAAAATACAGTTAGATCGATCGCTGCGTGCACCAAGAACTTTAAACATATCTTCAAAATGTTTATCACATACTAAATAGTTTTTACAAATTTGTTGTTTTATTCTTGAAAAATGGACTGCGAACACCCAATACTCAAATTTGAAATAAATCGTTATTAGGATTTCAGAGTGTTTACAAAACAATTTGGCATACAACAATACGATATATTGCAGCTTTTATAACTAAAAATGACCACAAAAATTTAAAATAAGCTCAATCGTCAGCAAGATCAAGTAAACAAATTGAACATTTAAAACACAATTGAACAAGACCAAGTTGACAATACAATAAACAATTATTTACAAAATACTTACTATTTATTCATCCAGGATCCAGAGCACACCCAAATACAAACAAATTATAATTATTGACAATATGATATTGATAATCACAAAAAATACAGGTAAAATGGCAAATGTCATTCACCGCGAGGTAATCGATAATGGATGCCTGACAATTGACAATGACACTCCCACTCTTTCCACCATCAATTGTAGATTTCTGTAAATTGTTGTGTACAGCGCCATCTAGAATCTGTTCCTTGAAACAAAAATATAGTTTCAGCTCGGGCTATACCAGTTACCGATACCTGACTTCGATGCCAGATGGACATGTCAACGGGTGGGGAAGGGGCGGAAGAGAACAACAGCCACTTGTCACAGCAAGGAAGACATCGACGTTGTCAACAATGTCAACTGTCAAAATGATACAAAGGGGGATTGAATATCAAAAGTAAAAATAACAAAGAAATGGTGACGTCACAAACTTTGCAGCAGCGTTTAGTTTTTTGCCGAAGCAAAAATTGTAAAAGCTAGTACTCACATAATTATTTGATGTATCCAAATAAAAATCACTTAACACATCACCGAGCACATCACTGAATCACATGTTGAGATGATGATAAGAACAATATATAATTTCAAGTACCCAACTATTCAACCGATATAATATAAACAGTTCAAAAGATGATACTTTTAATTATCATTGCACATGCACTCGACAAAATTAAACTATAAATGAATAGGTATATTTATTTTAGCAATCGTATTGTTACGGAAATTGTTATCAGTATATTTCCTGGCATTTGATTGTAAACATATTTTTAAAATAGTAGCAATACAGAGTGTACCAAAAAGTTCATGAGGCAATAGAATGTTGGAATAAGACCCAATTTTTCACCTTTCACCTACTTGTTGATTAAAATATAGGGCGTTGGTAATCTCTCAAGTAAACCTACAGGGGTAAAAAGACCATAGGAGTCATTACTAAAAATAAGTGCATCTGAGCCTGGATAGAAAGTTGCCGAGCTGAAACAAAACAAGAACGCAAATACCTTTGAAACAAAAAATTAAAATGCAACAAGTATCTGCGCATCAAATTCTGAATTATTAAAAAATTAATATAGTTAATCAAAGCGCTAAAAATCATAGAAAATCTTTGGAAAATCATAGAAATTCAAAGCAAAGCTTCTGCTTATACATGACCTACATGTTAAAGAATGACAACTGATACATGGAGGATAGGGTAAGACAAGGAAAGACAAATGGGAGACGTTGAAGAAACACAACAGTGTAGACCCAAGATGAAAAAGAAACCACTGAAAAAGAGAAGGAAGGACAGAACGTTGAAAGGGTGACAGTCGTAGAAAATCAACGAAATTCATAGACAGCCTTAAAATTTATTGATACGAGAAGCCAAAAAAAAGGCCTAAACATTGAATAATACCTAGAAATCATGTACAGGCCTAAGACGAAGAACAAAAAACTACTGGAGAAGAAGAGTGATACGTTGAAAGGGTGACATGTAAAATCACAAAAAAAGGAATAGAAAATCGTAGAAATCTTTAAAGAAGAATACACGCTGCTGCCAAAGGGGCCGTAATTGGTTAGTATAGAAACTGTAATAACCAAGGACACATTGCTCAATGAATACGTGAAGGAAACAATCAAAAGTTCAGTATTAGAGTCTAAGAAGAACGCCTGTGCATCGTGCGGAATCATCATCAAGTCTTAGATTTTATTTCCCCCTTCTAAGAATTAGAATAAAACTTAAAGGACTTTTAAAAATTTGAATAATTAAAATTCTTAGTAATGATACCTTAGTTTCGAATTGAATCATCATCAAGTCTTAGATTTTATTTCCCCCTTCTAAGAATTAGAATAAAACTTAAAGACTTTTAAAGAATTTGAATAATAATGAAAGGGAGGTGTGTTTATCAGTCAGTATAAAACTGAACAGCAAAGGCCACGAGAAGGCTAAACACATCTTTGCCAGGAAAGGGAGGAATTTAGTAATATAAATCAAAACCTCTTTATCGTTATTGATATCTTAATAACACATGGTTTAAACAAGCTACCTATATATGGCTTTTTTTTTTTTTTTTTTTTTTTGACTACGTAATTGTATAGGCTCAAGTTTTAGGCAAGCTACCTATACCTACGGCCCTGTTTTTTTTTTTTTTTTTTTTTTTTTTTTTTTAAAGTTTAGAACTTGTTGCTCGAACAAACCTTATATAGCTTTTTTTTTTTTTTTTTTTTTTTACCTAATGGTTTTTTATAATTTTGGTATCTTAATTGTTTTAAGCAAGTTTTAACAAGTTACCTATGCCTAATTATTTGTTGAGAGGTTGTGATTTATATTACTAAATATAAGGAGAGGATAAATAAGGAAGCCGTGAAAACAGCTGATTGTTTGTTCAACTAAAGTTTACATTAGTAACGTACTTTTTTTTTTAGAATCTAATAATTATCAACTTTTTGATTTTTCCTATTTGATATTTTACAGTTTAAAATATTATTTAATTACTAACTTTGTGAGTTTCGTATTTAATTACTAACTTTTTTGAGTTTCCTATTTGATATTTTAGAGATTTTACAGTTATAACTTTGAAAACATAATTTTTTAACTTAATATTTAGTAACCCCAAGGAACAGTATTGAGAACATCGTCTACATCCGGATCAAGAGTACGCCTTTTTTTATAATCCATACGAAACGTTTTAGATACACGCTTCCTAGTAAGAATGTCTTTGGTACAGGTATTTCTGGTTATTTGATCATAAACTAATTTAATTTCCGTAGAAGGGTTGTTAATAGCCTCTAACATACCTTTATTATTTAACATCTCAGAGTTCTCGTAGTTTAAAGTAAAGCCCTTAATTTTAGTAACCTCTATGCCCTTTAGGGTTTTATAATAATAACTTTTAGGACCAGTAGATAAGAAATCGACAATATGGTCATCCTCACCCAACTCATCAGACCACTCGCCTAACATTTCACCTGTTTTGACTGTATTTAAACCATCATCAATATAAATAATTGAATCTGTGTCGTAATATACAATATTTTCTCCTAATTTATCAAGCATTTCATACAATCTTAGCCTGGCATTAGAGGTTGTGAAAGTGGCTATAAATATATTTGTTGATGTAGAATCTTCTACAAACACTTCTTTGTATTTATATGTAACCTGGACCATGTCATCATTTAAAAAAATACAATTAGAAATTTCAATTTTATCATCGAGTAGTATGTTGTACCAGCTTTTAACATCGGTAACATACTCTGTTTCAGACATGTTTTGCTTTTGGCCGAATTTACCCCAAAGTGAATTAAGGCAAATTTTAGCCACAGCTCTTTTACCTGGATTTGGTGCAATTTTATCGATATCGAGGTCAATGCCCATTTGATCTTTAACGATTTTTGCATATGCGGTATTAGATTCATATTTGTGAGGACTCGCTTCTAGTTTAATCTTCATGAAATCCCTAATATAATCCTTAAACAAATCATTTGATTTTTGAGGAAAATGCCAAACCTCGTCAATTTGAATAATTTCATAACCTTTTTCCAAAGCCTTTTTAAGTTCAGCTGTAGTCCAAATGCCTGTAAACACCCTTTCATTGACAGTGTGATTACATGTTTCTGTTTCGTTTTCCATACAACTTCTACACAAAGCAAACGTCAATTTTGTTGTTTTAACAGGTAATACAGGATGGTATAGTTTTTGGGGTGGTAAAACCGTGCATTTTACCAAACCAAACCACTCAGGGTTGTATTCTGTAGGGTTAAAAATCTTGGTAGGGTGTCCTACAGGGTAATAATCGTAAAATTGAACAGAAGGATACAAAGAAACAACATCTATATACCGACATTTTTTACCAGTAACCCTTAATTTGGAGGCATTAGTTCTACCACCAAAGAAACTTTCTCGTGGTTTTAAGGGCTCCATCATTTTAACAGGTTCAGTCTTTTTAAATTCCTTGGATTTTAGCCAATCACACTCCCAAATTTCCACAAGATTGTACCCACCCTCTTTTAGTTGTTGACTTCTACGTGAAGTCTTTTCAAAAAGGTCCTCCATTGTGTCAAAATTTACATTATTCACAGTTGAAGGAGTAAAGCATTTAGGGCAACCATGCCAAAAACAACCGTGAAATTGGTACACAGTATTGGTGACCTTATCGTAACCGTCCACTTTAGAGCCACAAATATGTACTTCGCCACCGTTAAGGGCGTGTCTCACATTAGTAAACTGATTTAACCATCTAATGGAGGTCTGGCTGTATGTATCTTTTTTCTCAGTTTCTAAAAGGGCGATGGTTTTTTTAGACAGGTATTTTGAGCGGAAAATGGCCATACATACACTGGCTATTGTAAGGTATTGAAAAGGGTCAATGTTTGCAATATTCAAAAATTCTTTTCGAAACGCTAAACATCCTTGTCTTAAAATATCCACGTCTGATTCACAGTAGGTATGAATCTCCTTTTGAAAATCAAAGATATAATTCTTCCCTACTCGTTCAGCGTGCCACTTTAGAAAACCAGCCCTTTGAGGTGGTTTCATGGTGTTGACCCCATAAAATTCTACACCGGGTATTGGGCCAACATATTTTTGGTTTTCTGGGGTATTGAAAAAATGAGGAAAATAACCCTTACATGTCTCTTTTAGGTCGAAAGTTTTTGGAAAATTGGCCAAGGGCCCAGCCACAAAATTACTAGAGTCTATTATTTTTAACTTTATTGGGGAAATCTCCAATAACATCAACTTCGAACCATTGTAGATGGTGAAGGGTTTAATGGTATTTTCTACGCAGTATTTCAAAATGAAATACGAGTCGTAACCTTTGGCATTATGGGCTATAGCTGTATAACCGCGGTGCTGCTCGGATATCAGCCATTTGCAGAAATCCTCATTATTTTTAAAGGTAAATTTGTTACCTTCAAAATCGTGCGCAATAACTAAATTAGGTATATGAATACCTGTGCCCTGTTGTGCTTCGTAATCGAAGAAGATATACTTTTCGTTGTACGTACAACGGGCAATTTTTTCGTCAGAAAGACCGTTGCAGACGCACGGTTCTTTGCAAATAGGTGAATCTTGATTCTCTTTATTATAACGACACCCTGTATTGAGTTCGCCACGACCATTGCATTCACATGGTACCTTACAAAAACCACCTTTTGCAGGCTTTTTGACCATGAAACATTGATGAGTGGCTGTTTCTACAAAATCTCTACAGTTAAAGCACAGCGAAAAGCCACACTTGTGAAACTTTTGTCGGCTAAGAAGTTTATTACACCCTGTACATTTGTAGACTTCAGAGCAAACTGTGTCGTGATTAGCTAAACATTCGTCATTGTAGCAAAATCTGTTGCACTTGGCACAATAAGTTTTCTTTTTGACTGTAGAATCATGCTGTGGCTGTTTACACAGGTTACAAAGGGGTTGTTTTTTGCATTTGTGAATGTTTTTATTATCGTAACCTGTATCACACTTGTAACAATAAAAGTGTCGTCCGTACAAACCCTTTAAATTATTTATCACATCAAAGTGGTTTTTGTTTTTATATAAATAAAGTTTATTATCTTGATCATCCCCCTCGTATATAATACTATTAAAATTTTCGGCGCAAATAATCTTTATTTGTACGTCTAACAATTTTTCAGCCTTTTTAAAATCCTCCAACGAAAAACCATTTTCGTAAGACCCACCCAAAAGCCAACATAACTTTTGAGCTAGAATTGTTTGAATATAACGGCCCATTCTCAAATCTTTAATATCACTTTTAGATAATTTCTTACCCAAAAGCTCATCGGTATGGTACGATAAGGCCGTAATTATTGCGCGAGGGCCACACAAATTATCACTATTATTAATACGTGTAATACTACGCTTAGTTAAACGGTTCTCTGTTAAATTGATGATTTTAGGACGACCCTTTCCACGTGGCATTTTAAAAATTTGTACATCAAAAGATGTACCTCGTATATCTACCTCTTGATTAGAGGTGACGATGTTTTCAATATGATCCAATATATTGTCGACATTTATATTAGTAGTCGTTTCTGTAGAAATTGGGTGATTAAAGCCGTCATTTTGCACAATAACCCGTATCTTATCACCATGTACGTAACCCGCCTGCTTTTTAGCATTTTGTAAACCTGTTTTTAAAACATGCCCTAAATTAATCTTTTCGTTATCTAAACTACCCCCTGTTTTATTAGAGGTCTCGTTCAAATGAATTTGATATGTAAGCAAGTGGGTGTTGAACTTCTTAATAAATTTTTTGTTTAAGGTTTTCAAAGACCACTGGTTATCCATGGCTAAGACCCAAAAAAGAAAATTTAAAAAAATTAACAAGTTTAAAAATTTTCAAAATGCCAAAACTGAAGTAAATTTCAAAAAACAGCAAAATCCAAAAGTCAAAAATTTTTTCAATATAACAAAACTGAAAAGTCAAAATAGTAAATTTTACAAAATTTCAAAATTCAAAACTCGAAATTTTCAAGAAGCCAAAACTCAAAAGTTTCAAAAATCCAAATTTTCAAAATTTAAAAACTCAAAATTTTCAAAAATCAAAAACTCAAAATCCAAAAAAAAAATCAAAAATTTTCAAAATAAAAAACTCAAAATTCAAAATATACCTGGAGACCCTGGAGAGCACGTCTGATCACTACGATGGTTGAACAGATAATGATTGAGCGCTCCGAGCACCTGTATTTATAACCTTGGTTTTCCTTGAAAATGCTGAAAATGGATCTGAAGCATTTTGAGACGATTTCCCAAACTGCATTCATACACGACTCATCGAAAAGTAGAGCGTTGCATCAATACACTTCAAGTTTGAACTATTTTTCGAGTTTTATTTTTTAATATTTTTACAAATCTAGCTGTGGTTAGATAGATATTATTTTAGCGAGGAAATCATTTCTCATTTATTTTCTCAAATTTTCAAGTAATTTAAATTCTGTACACACGGATGTATTTAGATAAGCGTTTCAAGTAAATTAAATTTATGGTTAGATAAGCTTTTGATTATTACTGTCATTTCTATATAAAATAATTTCTACCTTTAACAAATAAGTCTTGTAGTGTACGCGGTATATAATAAAAACACACTGATTATTTTTATTTAATAGATATAATGGTTAGGTTTTTCTATAACATTCATTTTTACAAGTGTTTTAACATATTTTGATATAGGTTGTCCTTGGGCTAAAGCAAGACGCATTTTGTCTACTATTACGTTGGGCTCTTCAGGTGTTCGATCTTGACTTTTTAATAGGTTTTTCCGATTTCTAACACTCTGCATTTCCCTGTCGTTGGGTTCTTCAATTATTTTTATAGAACGATCTTGACTTTTTAATAGGTTTTCCCGATTTCCAACACTCTGCATCTCCCTGTCGTTGGGTTCTTCAGGTGTTCGATCTTGACTTTTTAATAGGTTTTTCCGATTTCTAACACTCTGCCTACATTTTCCAACCAATCTGTTTTGTACGGCGCGTTGTTTGACTTTATCATCAATTACCAAGTTCTTTTCCTTCACATTTCCGACTTTATTTAGGACCTTTGCTCTTCTATATTTCGTTTTATTTTTAAATAGAGGTCGAATAATTCTGTTAAATTTGTCTTTACTAGCTTGGTTTTTCAGATATCCTCGGGAGTCACGATGAGTAGATAGACAAAGCGGGTATGACCCCACATAGGGAATTCAACGTGTAAGAGTGAGAGGTAACCTACGAGATATGGCGTTCACGTAAACGAGGCCATTTTCATCATTTTGCGAAAAGACAAATAACCTACGGGATATGGCGTTCACGTAAACGAGGCCATTTTAGGGTCACGCGTACGAAAACGTCGAAACGGCAAACGAAAACGTCGAAACGGCAAACGAAAATGTCGAAACGTCAAACGAAAACGTCGAAACGTCAAACGAAAACGTCGAAACGGCAAACGAAAACGTCGAAACGGCAAACGAAAACGTCGAAACGTCAAACGAAAACGTCGAAACGGCAAACGAAAACGTCGAAACGTTAAACGAAAACGTCGAAACGGCAAACGAAAACGTCGAAACGTTAAACGAAAACGTCGAAACGTCAAACAAAAACGCCAAACGTTTCGACGTTTTCGTTTAACGTTTTCGTTTGCCGTTTCGACGTTTTCGTTTGACGTTTCGACGTTTTCGTTTAACGTTTAGACGTTTTCGTTTGCCGTTTCGACGTTTTCGTTTGACGTTTCGACGTTTTCGTTTGCCGTTTCGACGTTTTCGTTTGCCGTTTCGACGTTTTCGTTTGACGTTTCGACATTTTCGTTTGCCGTTTCGACGTTTTCGTTTGCCGTTTCGACGTTTTCGTACGCGTGACCCTAAAATGGCCTCGTTTACGTGAACGCCATATCCCGTAGGTTATTTGTCTTTTCGCAAAATGATGAAAATGGCCTCGTTTACGTGAACGCCATATCTCGTAGGTTACCTCTCACTCTTACACGTTGAATTCCCTATGTGGGGTCATACCCGCTTTGTCTATCTACTAGGCAGTTTTTATAAAAGATATTTATGATCATTTAATTTCGCTGGGAAACTCGAATAACTTAGAACTACTAGTGGGTGATACAAATTTTAATATACTAGATACAATAGATAATGAAAATTTTAATTATATATCTACATTGTCAGAACTTGGATTTACCTCATATATAAACACTATTACACTAAATGACACGAAGAGTTGTTTAGATCACATATTTGTTAAACAAGTCCAAAGGCCAAATTCATTTGATTTTCAAACTTTTGTTCTAGACCATCACATAACAGACCACCTTCCAATTACGATTAACATCTCGCTAAAAAAATCATTACTTAGAGAACCCACAGATCAAACAGAACATAGAAATAAACAAAATTCTATAATAAAAACAGATATAGATAAATTAAAACAAACACTGAATAACCAGGACTGGTCACCCATAACAAATGATGATAACTCAGAAACGGCTACCAATAAATTTATTTCGATCTTTAAAAAAGCCCTAGAAGTGGCAATATCTATAACAACGCTAAAACAATACAAAAAATGTAAAAATTGGATAACTAATGGATTAATAACATCTATAAAACACAGAAATAGATTGAAACGAAACCTGATAAAAAATTATAGCATAGAACTAGTTAAAGAATATAAATCATATCGAAATTATCTTGAAAAGCTAATTATTAAACAAAAAAATGAATTTTACCAAAATAAAATCAACAAAAACAACATAAAGAAATTATATCATATTATAATAGTTATTTACGATCTAAGTATCATAAAGTTTCATATTACGATACGCGATGGAAATATTGTCCGAAGGCCAAGTTTGATAATCCATTGAGTATCGTAATATGAATTTACGATACGAATATTGTACAAAATTTTATCTATTATATAAAAAAAAAATAACTACCAGATTTTCTGTACATTGATATGACAAAGATGAAGTTAGCCGTCTGTTAGATATTTGAATTCACCTTTAGCGTAGTCATAATTGACATTAATAATTTTTGCGAGACAAAACATAGTAGCCTTGTGTAGTTGCTAGGTATTGTTTGTTGGCTAAATAATAACTCTAAATAATAACTCAAAATAATAATTATCATGAAAATTTGTGAAGAAAATATGTCTTACATTGAATTGGCAGCTAACGAAGCCATTGAAACTTTAATTCCTGCAAAATCTAGGAATAGATATGAAAAAGAGTTCCAGCGATTTGAAGAATGGTGTAAATTAAAAAATGTCAATGGTGTTTCGGAAAAGATTTTATTGGCTTATTTTTTTCGAAAGAGCCGCAGTTGAAAAACCATCTACATTGTGGTCTCACTATTCCATGTTAAGGACCACTATTTTCGACGAAGAGAAAGTGAAGGGTATAATTCAAAAAATCAAGATTTTTTCCAAAAACGAAATACATACATTTTTAAAAGAAGCCAACGATGAAGCTTATTTAATGATGAAGGTGAATTTTATTAGTTTATTTGTCATAGTATTTTTGTCTCCAAAACGATAGCAGTCTATCCAAACGTTGACATTTCCGAAGCCACTAGAAGTAGGTAGTACTGAAATTCTTTGAAAATTTTAATCTTTTTGTAGGTATCCTTAATAATTAGTGTTTTTGGAGCCTGTCGCAGCGAAGAATTCATCAATTTGAAAGTAAATGATATTGTTGATGAGGAAACGTTTATTAAGATTGAAATTTCAAATACGAAGACTAAAATTAAACGAGAATTTGCAGTTACCACAGGAAACATTGACGGCTTTGACTGTCTGCATACATTCAGAAAATATTTTAGCCTTCGTCCACAACATACCACTCATACTCGTTTTTTTGTTTACTACAAAAATGGAAAGTGTACTTCACAACCTGTAGGAGTTAACACTTTTGGGCGCATTCCAAAAGAAGTTGCTGCTTTTCTAAAATTGACAAATCCAGAGGGATACACCGGGCACTGTTTCCGAAGATTATCCGCGTCCCTTCTTGCTGATGATGGTGCAGATATGCACACTTTAAAAATACACGGAGGGTGGAAGTCCACTTCTGTAGCTGAAGGAACGATCTATAGAAAATAGAAGAATAATAGCTAGTAAAATCATGGGAAAACAGATTATTCCCATTGAAACCTGTTGTGAGTTGCCTAGCTAGTAGCGGTATGTATTACAAAGGTGTATTGTGAGTTACCTAACTAGTAGAGGTTGGCATGTTTGCCAATGTGACGGACAACTGGCAACGCTCTTCCTCTTCCTTGGTTCAAGGCCAAATGTTTCGTAGTCCAGCTAATAAACGTTCTTATTAAAATGTAAGTTTATTATTAATAATTTATAATTGTTTACAACATAACAAAACCGTCGTTGAAAACATTGGTGAATCTGTTACGTCTATACCGGCAGAAAAACAGAATATTACCACTGAAACGACTGTTGAGAATATCAGTACATCTCTAGCATCTACATCTGTAGTACTAAATATTACCAACTGCAAAGATTTTGTTATTAATGTTTATAAATAAGGTTAACAGATTTTGTTATTAATGTTTATAAGTAAGGTACAATATTATTTTATGTAAGTTTATGTTGGCCAATTTATAATAAAACAATTTGGAAAAGTAATTTAATATTTTCTCTTAATTTTGTAATTAAACCATTTTCCAAAAATAAGTTACCTGATGTTATATAATGTGAAAAGCAACATATTGGGAATTCCGATACTTTACCTACTTTACCGCACTAGTGCGGTAAAGTACGTGATTACGAAATTCAAGTGACAACTGTAAAGTTTGACATTACATATTGATAGTAGATAAAGGAATGTACAAATGAAAACCAAACTAAAATGAACAAATTATAATTCACAGAGATGACAGCACATAATTTAAAGATAACACGGATATGGACAATTACCGCAACAATTACTCTTCTAGGATTGGTCTATGGATATGGCAAAAAAAATTCAAGATACAGACGAACCATACGAGTTGAAATACCCCAATCCACATTCTCTTTTTCTATTCCCAATAAACAGAAATTATTTAATTACTCACATCTCTGCATTAAAAACAAACAGTGCTCCTGGATACGATGGTATACCAACACATAGGGTAGCCAGATTTTCAGAAATGAAAAGCGGGAGGTTTTAATTTTTGAAGAAAAAAACATTTATTTTAATTAAATACCTACTAAATATGCAAAGATATTGTAGTATCAAAAAAAAACAAATTTCAATGCCCGATTAATAAAACATTTTTTCCGATTTCTTTAGATTTGATATATAGTTTCTGCTCTATCAAAAGTTTTACAAAAATTATTACTATGAAGACTAGAGATAAGGAGGCGAATCGGCCTTGGTCAAATTTCCGTCCCTATTTTTATGGAGTTCCAAAAAACTACTGTAGTTGACGGGTGGAAAATAACGACGTCTATTTTCTATGCAACTCAATGAGAATTAAAGTGATTTTTGTAAAATTTAGTGAAAAGAATAAAAATAAGCTGAAATAAAGAACCTGACTACAAGTAACAATGAGTAATAAAAACGGCAGAGCAGGATTTGCTTCGTTCTGGGTTGAAAAACGGGATATAAATCCGATATAAAATTAAAGAAAACACAAGGAGATAAAAATTCATGTCTTTTTAAAGCTCCTAGTGTAAGTAAAATAATGTATTTATTTTTAAATAATATATATTTATTGTAAAATAGTCACAACCACAACCCGTATCTTACGGAGTGTAGTTTATTTAATTACAAAATTCTATAATAAAAAATAATAAAGTCATAAATCCTGACTTACAAACAACAATAATTACACATTAAATTTAACTTACTAGAAAAGAAAATTTGCTTTTTTTATGTTTTTTGATGTTAGATGAAGAGTTAGTACTATTATTTTTCTTTATTGAACTCCAATTTAGTCATTGCAAATATTTTTTATAGGATCCCTAACGTTTAGAACAATGGCAGCATGTGATTCCTAGGGCTAATAAAATACTGTCTAGTTATGATTCTGTTTGCTAGGCTACACTTTTTAGATGATATTTTAAAATTTGATGACACTATTTTAACTAATGGTACTGTAATAAAAAGGGAAAGGCTGAGATTAAAGAACGAGGCAATACCATGTATATTCCCAAATCTCCCTTCATACTTGTCCAGTATTAGGAAAATATGAAAACCACCATTGAATCGATCTGAATTTGTTAGAATAAAAAAAGGAAGAATACACTAGAACCTATTGCTGAAGGGGTGATGAAATTGTAGTTGTCAAACACAAAATTACCACAAAACTGTACTTACCAAATTTCACCATTTAACAAACCTTTTCAAATTTGGTCATACCTAATTTTAATTTTATTTAGATAAAATTAAATAATGAATAGTAAATAATGTTTAACAATAATTAAAATCAACAGTATTTTCTTTGCTTTAGTTAGCAATAAACAATTTAATTTTTATTATTTTCATAAAATTTTGTAAAATCCCCAACTAAATATTTTCATTTAAACCGTGTCTTAGTATGCTCTCAGCCCTATTTAGCTTTAATTAAAAAATAATTAGCCCTATCCATCAAATCAGGGTTCGAAACTATCATGATATATAAATATCATATCACATGATATATATATCAATTTTAAAATTTAATTATTTAATTAAAAAATAGTATTGTTTCTTGCACAAACTAGATTTTAAATTTTAACACAAACATATTAACAAAAACCTATATTCTAAACAAAACCGTTTATTCTAACTCAAATTAAAAAGAAAAAGAAAAATAATTAATAAAATAAACAGATTTTAACATTATTTTATTAACAATATTTTAACACAAACACATAAATCGCTAGTTTTTATACTTTTATACAGGGGCGTATTGAGACATTTTCGGATGTTTAGAATAGTGGAAAACATTTTTAATTTAATAAATAAAATTATCGAATATATCGGATATATATCATGATATATATCTAGATATATATCCTCCGAACCCTGCATCAAATTTCAACACATAAATAATTTGCATTTTACTTAAATGGGAATAAATAGTAAATAATGTATCAATTAAAATATATAAGACTTATTTAAAAATAAATACAACAGTATGTTCTGTGCTTTATTTAGCTATAAACAAGTTTATGACAAAATTATGTATAATTCCCATAAGAAGCCATGTATTTTGAACTACGTAAACCGTACCAGCGCCCATGCGGTTAATTATAAAAGCTCAATTGACGTGTGATTTTTGGGACCGTATTTTGAACATGCCGATTCGCCTCCTTATCTCTAGTCTTCATAATTATGACTTATTGCAAAAATAATAAAACAAAATATGCTTACAAAATAAAGCAACTTGACATAAATAAATACATTTGGCATCAGTGCATCAGCACTTGTCAAGAAATAAAAAAGAGATATGATTTTGCCATTCAACCATTTCACCTTTTTATAAATACTATGGATCTCAAGTACATGGGCAGGGCCGGCGAGAGCCAGGTCGGGCCCAATATCAATAAAAAATTAAAAAAAACAACAAATAACTTACCAGATGAATTTTGTACATATTTGTTATCTTTGTTCCCATGTCCAGCTTCATCTGCATCTATTGAGCGGAATTTTTCTTCATATGGATTAATATGGACTAAGCTTCGCAACAGATTAGGTGTCGATAGAGCTGCAAACTTGGTAAAAATATATAATCATTTAAAACACAAGTCTAAGGAATAGGAATGTGATGAAAATACAGATTCTGATTTCTGATTTTCCTGATAACTAATATGCTTTGTTTAACAAAAAACTTGTTTATTTTTTTATTTCTCTATACAGGGTGTTATTGAAATACACGTACATATTAAAACTGGGTATTGCGCAGATCCCCACTGAATGTAGAAAAGATTATTTTTTAAAAATACCCCTTATTAAGGGAGTTATTAATTTTTGAAAATTAATTCTAAAACAAACGTACTTCACTGATATGTTGAGGATGACCTATATAAATTAGGTTTATTTACCTATTTTAAACATCAACAGTAATTAATATGCAAGTTTTTGTCAGATGATGAAAACTAGTCTTGTAAGAAATAACCATGTTGCCAAGATTTTTGAATTAATTTCTATTTCCGAAGACTGGTTTTTACTACCCTCGTTATCAAAAAACTAGAATATTTGATAAATGATTGTTTTTAAACTATACATTTTTGAAACTATAGATTATTAAAATTTTAGTTGATTTACGAATCTGGCTAACACGAGCGCGTCATTTCCAAGTTGGTAAAAAGTGTTGTTACGATTATTTTTAAATATTTTTTTACGATGCCACTATTTACGAATATTGAACTAACGGATATAGTGCTGGTTTATGGGGCAGCTGGAGAAAATTCTCGGCAAGCACAAATCCTGTATCGCGAACGGTTTCCAAATCGGAGAATTCCGGACTGTCGTACGTTTATTTCAACTGTTCAGCATCTAAAAGACCATGGAAAATTTGAGAGTGTCAATGCAGATCGAGGGAGAACAAGAACACAAAGAACATTGGCGGCCGAAGAAGAAATATTGGAAGCTGTTGAAAACCGGCCTCAATTAAGTTGTAGAAGACTAGGTCTTGAAATTGGAGTGTCCTCATTTGTTGTGTGGCGGACACTTAAAGAACAAGGTTTACATCCTTATCACATCCAAAAAGTCCAGGCCTTATATCCAGGTGATGAAGAAAAGAGAGTGGAGTTTTGTGAATGGATGATTCAAAAATGTGTTGATATTCCTGATTTTCTAAAAATATTATTGTATACTGACGAGGCTTCATTCACTCGTGATGGCGTGTTCAATATGCACAATACGCATATTTGGAGTGATGAAAATCCTCACGCCATTAGGGAAACTGGGCATCAAAAAAAATTTTCAATAAATGTTTGGGCTGGCATAATAGATCAGTATTTAATCGGGCCTTATGTTCTCCCGAACAGATTAAATGGGCCAGGATATCTCCACTTTTTAGAAGATATTTTGCCAGTACTCCTAGAAGAGATACCGTTACAATTAAGGCAACGGATGTGGCACCTACTAGATGGCGCTCCTCCTCACTTTGATTTAAACGTACGGCAGTTTTTGAACATAAGATTTCCTCAAAAGTGGATAGGCAGAAATGGACCTACTAAGTGGCCTCCGAGATCTCCGGACTTAAATCCATGCGATTTCTTTTTGTGGGGTCACATGAAACAACTGGTTTATAATGAACCTATTAATAGTGTTGAACAATTAACCAATAAAGTTAATGCGGTAGCCGAGGAACTACGACAAAATCCAAGACTAATTTCTAATGTTCAAAGTTCTTTGGAAAGACGATTGCAAGTGTGTGTAAATAATAATGGACGGCATTTTGAACAATTACTATAATAAACTTTATTTTGAATTAATTGGTTTTGCTACGGCAACAGTGCAATTTCTATGGGTAAGTTCAATTTCGATTTATTTTACTTCTTTAAATATGGAAACTAGTAGGTCGGAAAAGGGGACTCTTCCCCAATATTTAAATTTTAGAATTTGAAGTTAAAATTGGTGCCAATCGTTTTTGGTCATTACATACTATTCCCCATTTTAATATGTACGTGTATTTCAATAACACCCTGTATATTATATTTAAAATAAGTGTTTAGTTAGTTTAGTTTCAGTTTCTCTCGTTTTGTATTCACCTACTACTTACTTCATTTTATTTATGATAGTTTCTGTTTTTATTCAGAAATAAATATATATGTATATGACTTTCATTCAACTGAAAATTTGTCATTTTTGAAAAACCCAATAATGGGTTTTATCAATTGAAAAAAACCGAGACACCCCACTGGGTTTTATAACATGGGAAAATTCTATGCCAACTCTGAACACGGGTAAAATTGGCCTTCTATCTCCTCTATCCAAATCTGTGGTTCACACATCATCCAAATACAAACCAACCAATATTCACAGCTATTTTACTAAAAATTTATTTTTACATCAAAATAGCCAGACATTTGGATAGTTTGTGTAATATTGTGACGAAGTCACTAAATTTTATTTTTAATTCATTTTAAAAATGTATATTTCAATTAATTCCCGCCTGAGAACATGTGGAAGTTTCCCCGTATTTCTGTTTCCCAGGAATTACCGTTTTTCAACAATTGCTAGTACCCTCGTAGATTAAAATATTCTTATATTTGCCGAAATCCGAATGGGCATTTTTAGAGTCGATTTCGTATGGATTATCTACCTTTTATTTGTCAAGGACTATAAGGGCATTTTTTTATTTTTAAATTGTAAACAGTCGGCTGTAGTAGTGGTATCCCCACTTTGTCGTACTGGTTTTCCAACTTGCTTTACCAAAAAAGCATAAATTAAATCCCATCTGGGAATTACTCTCTCTTCTCGCTTGCCAGCCGCCGTAAGCGATTGCCGATAGCCGAAAACACTTCACCCTTAGTTAGTACCTAGTGCCGTGATTTAGTTCATCGGTCAATCCCGTTTATTTTTCTAATGGTAGGATACCGCTTATTTTTTTTATTTACAATTAGTTTGGGACACCCGTCCGACAAGTGAAATAATTTTGATTCATGCCCAGCATTTTTCATTTCATCCCTTAGTGGGAAACCGTTGGCAATTTTTTTATTTGAGGTTGGACCTAGACCAGACACCGAGAGAACCGCCCAGTTAGCATCGAAGTGAGAGATCCGACCTGTTTGCGATTTTTTATTATTTTTTTTTTTCGGAGGTTCGATCCGTTCTCGGGTTGGAGAGCTCTCGCTCCTGATGACGTATCTAATTTCCCAAAAGACGATTAAATTAATTTCCGCGCCTCACTTCGTGTAAAATTTATTTTCTTTTATTTATTCATTCAATTGTATTTGAATCATTCCGTTCTCCGTCCACAACTAATTATTGAACACACACGCTCTCGATAGACGCTGGGCAAAATTCATAAATATTATTTTCTACGATCGTCGTGGTCGCCGATTCAAAACACCGTGTAAATAAACCCTATTTATCAATAGGCGAGAATTTTGCGTTTCCATCGCTTGGGTATTAAGATACAAGAGGTCTCCGACAATTTTGAGTTCATTTTTTTTATTTGTTTACATTTGATTGCCGTCATATTTAAATTATATTCAATAATGATAATTTATTTTCCATAAATATTTCCCTACGTTTTAATAATTTACTTTTATTAAATTTTCCGAATATAGGGATCCGTCAATATTTAAATAATTTTCAACTTTAATAATTTATTTTTTATTCAATTTTCCGGATATAGGGATCCGTCAATATTTAAATACTTTTCAATTTTAATAATTTATTTTTAAAGAATAGATTTTTCGAATGCAGGAAGCCGTACATATATAATTACAGTTGTATTTTTTTTTTTTGTAAATATATATTTTATTACCTGTTCCTGTGTTTCTCTTATTGCTGGTTCTTAACCGTTCTCTTTCAGGGTACCGTAGGGTACGAGGTGTAAAGGAGATAAGTGTTTTATTTTTATTTATTCTAGTATAGTGGCTACCTAGCAGTGACCGCCTGGAATTATTTTTACCTCCACTGAGTTCACCTTGAGTACACTCTGGTGTATCACAGGGTCGCAGAGCAAACTGCGATATCAAAACTGGCGCCTGAGCAACCCCTATTCGGGAATTACATTCATAGCGCCACACAGACTCGCTGATTCACTGTAGGTGAACCAGGAGCCTGTCACAATATTTAGCTAAAAACGTATATGTATTTGTAAAACAAGTGAAAAAATTAATTTATTATATACTCTTTTTTTTACTTCAGCTCAATAAAAATCAATAATAAAACAGGCAACAGTATTTACGAGAAAATGTATGAGAAGTTGCTTAAGCTTAATAAGTTGTCATTGAAGAATCGGTTAAATAAAGGCAAAATAAAAACATTACCATTTTATAATAACGTGGAATCAAAATGTTGAAGAACATTGTAAAATGTTAGTTTATAATTTATTTAAAACCTTTTAGTTTTCTGATATCTACTATTTCCGGTATTGCTGTCATTTATAAAAAAAATGTATTTTTTCTTCTTATTGTACAGCTATCCATTTATTTCTTTGATTTAATTTCCATTTTGCTACTGGAAATTTATATAATTTACACTTTTTTTCTAGAATTTTTACAATTTACAACATAGCAAATCCGGTCGCTCATTTTATTGTTTTTACCTTTTTTTTTAAAAAAGAAAAATGTATACGTGTATTTGATACGCCAAAATTACAAAAGTGCTATAATTATCCGCAGCTTGCGCTAGTATCGATTTTGCTTCTCTTACCAAGACTTCGCACTGAGCGAATAAACCGTAACATATACAATATGTTAACCAGTTCACCCAGAAAATAAAGATAAGACGCTTATTATTCTATTTTTTAAATACTATATAAATTAGAATGTGTAATACGTGGGATCCTTGAAATAAGTAAAATTAGAATTATAGGGAAGTGATACTGTTTTTTAACTAGGCTTTTTTATTTGCAGATTTTCCTTCTTCTAAGTCAAGATCAACTCATATTGATGGACATTTTGAGAAACGCTACGCAGTTTGTCGATTTTGTGGAAGATTAATGAAAAAAATAGAATTTTTTCAACATTTATTTATTCATCTAGTGAAAAATAGAAAAAAACTATACGACTGTGACATTTATCCTAAAGGTTTTAATAATAAATCGAACTTACAGCAACATTTAATAATTCACAATGATGAAAAATCCGAAAAAAAACGATTCCAGTGTAATATTTGTTCCAAACTGTTTACTCATAAACCAAACTTACGGCAACATTTAATAATTCACGGTAGTGAAAAACTATTTAAGTGTGGCAATTGTTCAAAAGGTTTTAATTATAAAGCTAACTTAAAGCAACATTTATTAATTCATAGTGGAGAAAAACCATTCAAGTGTAACATTTGTTCCAAACGTTTTACGCAGAAACCAAACTTACAGTGTCATTTAAAATTCCATAGTGATACACCCGAAGAAAAACCATTCAAATGTGATATTTGTTTCAAAAATTTTAAGTACAAATGTCACTTACGGACACATTTAATAATTCACAGTGATGAAAAACCATTCAAATGTGACATTTGTTTCAAAGGTTTTAATCGTAAAGGTCACTTACAGAAACATTTTGTAATTCACAGTGCTAAAAAACCATTCAAATGTGATATTTGTTCCAAAGGTTTTAATCAGAAATCGAACTTACAGAATCATTTAAAAGTCCACAGTGATACACCCGAGGAAAAACCATTCAAATGTGAAATTTGTTTCCAATGTTTTAATCATAAAGGTCACTTACAGAAACATTTAATAATTCACAGTGGTACGAAACCATTCAAGTGTGACATTTGTTCCAAAAGTTTTACCAAAAAATTACACTTACAGCAACATTTATTAATTCACATTGGTAAAAAACCAATCAAATGTGACATTTGTTTCAAAGGTTTTAATTATAAATGTCACTTACGGTCACATTTAATAATTCACACTGGTGAAAATCCATTCAAATGTAACATTTGTTTCAAAGGTTTTAATTATAAATGTCACTTAAAGACACATTTAATGACTCACAATTTAAAAATACCCGAGAAACAACCATTTAAGTGTGATATTTGTTTCAAAGATTTTAAACATAAATGTCAATTACGAAGACATTCAATAATTCACAGCGGTGAAAAACCTTTCAAATGTAACCTTTGTTCTAAAGGTTTCAATTTTATGGGCAACTTACGGCAACATTTAATTAATCATAAAGATGATAAACCCGAGGAAAAACCATACAAGTGTGATATATGTTTCCAAGGTTTTAATCATAAATGTCATTTCCGAATACATTCATTAATTCACAGTAGTGAAAAACCTTTCAAATGTGACATTTGTTCTAAATGTTTTAATCGTAAAGATTATTTACAGAAACATTTAATATCACATAGTGGTAAAAAATTATTCAAGTGTGACATTTGTTCCAAAGGATTTATGCGAAAATCTTGCTTACGGAGACATTTAAATGGGGTGTGCGCCAAAAATAAAATATTAGTATAGTTGTAATAAACAATAAGTCAATCATAACGGAATACCGCAAATGCAGAAAATAAAATCGGTCTTTGCTCGAAGAAGTCGAAAAATATTGGTTTACAGAATGAGTTGTGTTGGAGAAAATAATGTGGAAATAGTTTGGTGAAAGGTTTTTTATTAACGAATAACTATTTGAACAAACAATATTAAAATTAAAATAGGAACTCAGATTAGGTGCGCACATTCGTTGGTTAATTTACCGGAAGTACTTACATTGTCATTGACAGACGACAATACAGGTAGTCATCTTTATAAAACAAAAGTAACTAATTCAGACAGAGTTGCCAACTATAATAGATACGGGTATTTTAATAAGTTGCTTATCGGAAGTCAGCTAAACTAGCTAAAAAACATCATCCTCTTCGATATTATAATAATAATAATAATACCATAATAAAAATTTTATCACACAATATCAAAAAAATTACAAACATCAGTTCTGAAAAAAAAAAAAATATAACATATGGTGCGAATAAGAATACTTGCGAAGAGTCATAAAACACTTATTTACAAGAGAAGAAATAACATGAATTAATTAATATAAAAGTATAAAGATAAAACCAATACAAACTAAAATTGTGGCAAATACAATATTCAAAAAATAAAATCTATTAATATATTTTTTAATAACTAAACCAATTTTTTGGAAACAAAACGTGTATGTCCCGTGTATAATAGATCAACATTTTTTTGTCCTCTGTATTTTTTCACTAAACGACGCATTCGTTAACTGAATACGGGGAGATCTTATTATGTACTTTCTGTTCACAATGTATATACAGTAGGAAAGTAACTTTCCGCTAATTTATTTTTATGGGTTGTGGAAAATTTCCACAAAATTGAATATTTTCAAAGAGTTTATTTATTAATTTATTTTTACCTACTTAGTTAATAGTACACAAAGTACTTATTGTTAAAATATAAATTATAATTTGTCATTATTTTTGTAATTTTACAAAATATGACCCAATAAAACTATTGTTAATTCATATTATATGTCTAGTTTAAAGTTTGTTATATATTTATTTATTTTTAATTTTTTTTCTAATTTTTACATATAAAATGACATTTTTTGTAATCACAGCAAGTGTCAAAATGCCCGTTTACAAATAAAAATCGACGGGTTCACAGATTTTTTTTAAAGTCGCTAGTTTACGAAATATTGATTTATTTCCTTTCATTAAATCCATACTATGGATATATTGTGTATTAAAAAATATCAAAAATAATTTTTTCTAATTTTGACATGTGACATTTTTTGTAATTGCGGCAAGTGTCAAAATGATCGACTTAAAGCAACCAGTTGCATAATGTAGAACATGAAACTGGTTTAAAAAATTTAATATGTCACCAGTTGCAAAAGAATATAAATTAAAATAAATCTTTTTGGTTTTAAAATCAATAATATACATTGTTATTGAAAGTATATCAAAGAAGAGCACGATGACTTTTATAAAAAATAGAATTTGGAAGCTTACAACCTAGTAATAATGTTGTTTTTGTCCTTATTGTCCATTCTAAATCAGCACAAAATAATTAAAACACAATACATGACAAAATAACCCTCTTTTTTGAAATCTAAATAACTAACGAGCAATATAAACACTAAAATCGTTGAGAATAAATGAATATGATTTTCTATTTGTCAATAACAATACAAGAAAGTAGTAATATATCAGTAATTTTTTACTAAAAGACAATTTTTTCATAATCTAGTCAAAATTAGAAAAAAATATCGTATGTAACACGTTACGGAATGCCGTTTTATATAACTCGTTTATTTTTCGGGACTTTGCTCATTTACATGATACTATAAAAAGAAGGTATATTACGCAGATGGATACTATACGCCACTGTGACGTAATGTGGTGGAAGACGTAGCTTTTACGAATTTGACGTATCAGCTGATCGAAAACAACACGCGAAAATAAATTTTAATTGGCTCATGGGCAATCAAATATTTCACACCACAATACGTCATGCGTGAACTCGACGAGATTTCGTCGGCTAAGTATAATACATTTGTTTTTTTTTTATATCATGGTTCTGCTCGTTCCACAAATATTCACTCGTTACATAAAATAAGGGTTTTCGTTACTGATTGCATAAATAGCTATTACTTAACCTTTTCTTTCTTTGTATTTTTTAATTCCAAATAAATATTTGCTATTATAAATGGTTCTCTTTTTTTAAACGTTCTTCTATTATGCATTTAGCATATTTTTTTAATATTTGTATAAAACATGTGCATATTTTAAATACAAAATATGCATATATTGATATGGAAAATCCTGACGTCATCAAATTTTTTATCATAAGTGGAATTATGCTGGGTTGGTGAAGTTTCTAGAAATCAAAATTAAAGTTAAGTCGATTTTATGAAATCTGTCAGATGGTATAAAAAATCATGATACTATATAAAAAAGGTATGATATTACGTAGACTGATGCTATACATCACGGTGACGTAATGTGGTGGAAGGCCTGGCTTTTACGAATTGAACGTATTAGCTGATCAAAACAGCGCGCGAAAATGAATTTTAATAATCATATTCTACAGTACAATACGTCATGCGCGAACTCGATGAGATTTCGTCGGCTAAGTATCATACCTCTGTGTTTTGTATCATGTAAAAAAATTGTCAAGATTGTTATTAGATGATAGAAAAGCAAATTGTTTAATAATAGTATAAGATGTTGAGAAATTTTGTCAGAAGGTGGCTTAGACGTTATTTTAATAGATGGTATGTAAATCCCATTTTCACAAAAAAGTGGAGTTAGGCACTTTTCTTATTAGGGCGACGATATCCGCCATGGCATATTGGCATATAATAGAAAGATTGCAGGAATATTCAAGATCACCATGAAACATATGCCCACGATGTTTTTATCTGCCAAAATATGTGATGACATATTCTCTGGATTTACTGAAGATATCTATGTATACCTATATCAGGGTATTTTGAATATTCATGACATATTGAATTTTTTTTGTAATGTAGTACCATAGTTTAGAAAATAAAACTCATACTTAAATAGAAATTTGTAATACAAAATAAATTTTAAGTAAAAACAATACATACATACAAAAAACTATAAATTTAAATTTATTTGCCACATACTTATTATTATTCAAATTTACATTTTGAAGGTTTTAATAGTAAATGTAAGAATTGAGATGAAAATATCAATATAATAGAAATATTTCAAAATCTTGAGAAAAACATTACAATAATACTTATCACTTCTATAGCATCTTTGGGTCACTTTAGTTATAGTAATGGCTTCCTCTACATTTTCCTTTGCCGTTTGTGTACTATGGGTTTTCCTAAACATCTCTAAAGAAAATAGGATTAAATAGTGCCTTGTCTGCAATTTTATTACGAATAGCCCATATTTTGATTTACTTTACTACCAACTATGTAATTCATTAGCATTACATATCTTTGAACTAATATTATCTTTTATATAGAAGATGTTAAAATAAATTCTTGAATTTTACTCGAGTTTTTTTTTCCTGGTGAAAAGAATTACATTCCTTCTGAAGCTAATGCTCTATCATTATTTAAGGATAAAAGAGACTCTCCTACCAATTGGTTTACACTTCTTATAAAATATTTATTTTTATAATTTAAGGACAGCGTCTCCTAGGAATTTCTGAACAAAATTATGTCAATTTAGATTCAATCAAGGAGGTGCTGTTACCTACCGACTAGAGATTGAATTAGTGCAAACTATTACAGAAATTTTTAAGTAACTATACATATCGACCGACTAGCTATTAGGAGATATTGTATTATAAACCGGTTTTTAGTAGACTGAGTTCGAAGGATCATAATAATAGTCCTGAACATAAAATCTATTTTTCAATAATTGCCGGGATTTTATCAAATAAAAAAAAATATTTCGCGATTGTGAAAACGGTCCAATCGTTTCATATGCCATTTATAATATTATAAAAATGTTAACTCTAGGACTCATTTTGGAGTATGAGCATACTTTATTTCAATACTTTTATTCATAAAGTATTACCTACCTATTACATTTTATTTTTAACGAAAATCGACTTTGTTTCCTGGACCAAAGTAAAGAATGTAGGTAGGTATTATGCAGATGGCAACAACAAAAACGATATCTTGCCTCACATTAAATATAAATATTTCCTAAAACAAATAATTTGGTTTATATACGGGTAGCAATACGAGGGATGTTTATAATTTCAAGTCACGAATATAGAGTCGTTTCAAAATATATTGCCACAATAATTGCGTCACATTGAGTCGGAGTGGGACGCTTGACGTGTCGCAATTCGCAATATATTTTAAAACTATTCTACCTAATTAATAAATTGTGATTTTGAAGTATCGAATGAAAACTATATTCTCATTGGTTAAAGATGGAAGTTTTTGTCATTTGAATGTTCAGGAATATTAATTGTGATTAATTGGTTAAATACCGAAGTTATCTGTTATCTGATGTTGGTACTAACCTAATGTTTTTGGGTAATTTTGACGGTCATTTCCTGGAATTTCCAGGCCCGCATAAGTATTTATCCTCTTAAAGTACAAAAACCCTACAATAGATATTATGAGTAGGTATTTAACATTCATTTATCTTATCTTAGGTAGTTATTTCCTAGAAACATTTCCCTGATTGTCAATAACACATTACCGTATATCTGTGCCAATATGACGTCACGACTTTTAATATACTTAATGAAGGCTGGGGGAAGGAGTTAAGAGTCTATAAATTTACAAACAAGCTTACGGGTATTTAATTTTCAAAATTACATCACACGTTTCTGAAGTGTTTTATTGTGCTGTTTGTTTTTAATAAGTGTTATTTTCTTTAATAGAAAATTGATTTATTTGTGCCAAGTGTCCTAGTGAGTTTCATTGTACATTTTAATCAGTTTTATTTTTGGATAAATTGACATCGACTTCCTGCATTAAAGGTAGGTAGTATTTTTTTTCTATCACTCTCGAGTTCGTCATTGAATAAAAAAATTAAACGCTATAATTTTAACATTCAAATATTTGCAATTAAAAAATAATACGTATTAAATTTGACAATAAAAAAGCTTGTTATTTAATAATAATGTTTCATTATTCTGAATATATTTTTTCTACGATCAATATCCAAAGTAGGTAGGCTTTTGCACATTAAAATCTAAATAAAAAGTTGACGCTTTCTGCGAATTGTCATAATTTGACATTATTGGCGCACATTACCTAATATTCAAACCCATTTCCATGATTAAAAATAGAAGATGGTGACATTCATTTAAAAGAAAACCATAACTACTTTTACCAGGTGAAAAATTTCAATATGTTAAAATAATTCATGATTTTTAAGAAATGTGCTAGAAATGATACTAAAATATTAATATTCTTTTTATGTTTGATTTTCTAATAATGATTTTATATACTTTTAGAATCAAGGACAGCTAGGTATAGCTCAAAGAAAATTGTGCTACTTTGTAGTATATACTGGAGATGAAAATCCACTATTTGTTGAAAAAATTCATTTTCAACCCATTTTTTTTTTTTAAATATGGTTGAAAAATTTGAAAAATTTTACTCGGAACATATGGCACCTGAGATAATTTTAAATAGAAGAGGACGAGGATTAAAATGTCTGGATACCCCATATAATGAAACTTAAAGTGCAAAGATTAGCAAATTTATAAAAATTATAATTTAATGGACTTTAATGATACAAGTACTTGAAATAATGGTTTTTTTTGCGCAGAAGCATGTTCATACGTAATTTGCAATTGGTAATCACTAAACACAGATGGAAAAGTATATACGTCAACGATATGTTCTCTTATTTTTGATTTATTTTAACAGGTATAATATATAGTATGTTACTTATAGTATAGATTTTTTTATTTCTCGACCTAATTTATTTGTTACGTCTTCAGCAATTGTCGCTTTCAGTTGACATAAACGAAATTGATAAAAAGTGTTTTTCGCATTTTATTTTGACTGTTTCTCTTACTTTCGAATAGAAACTGAGCTTTGTAAACATAAAATGACGGATATGTCAAACTAAAACTGACGGTAAAATGAAACATTGAGTATCGTTAAATGCAACTTTTGAACTAGTTTCAAAAATAGCATTAAAATGATATTATCATTCACAATGTACTAATTTCCTATACTTTTAGTTGATAAATAACCGATAATCATACATCATATAACAAATAGGCGCGTGTCAAAAGGTCAGAAAAAAGAGTGCCGATGAAAAAAGGTCGTTTCCAATTGTATCATATAAACAGTATCAGAGGCAGTATTATCATCTCGTATACAAACACACTTAATATAAACGGAAATAATCAAATACTAGTCAAAATATTATCGATCGGAGCACCATCTTTATTACATTACATGAAGTAATTATTGATTTTTCTGGGTTTACTTAGAGTTAAATTAGACGCCATTTTTGGTCCAAATTCGTTTTGACATGTTTTTTCAAAGAAAGTGACTTATAAATTTCAAATCTACACGTTTTGAAAAATATACAATATTTAAATATTCTGAGTGTACCAAATTCCAAGTAAAGGTTGAACTTAGGTCGTATTACATTTTTTTTTATTATTTGTTTGACATCGAGGTTAAAATAATTCTAGACGGCACCTTTGAGATGAAATAAAAGGGGGTTATTTTACATGATTGGTTTTTATTGAAAATAATAAATTTATTAATTTTCAATAGTAAGGTGACCTAAGTTAGACCTTTATTTTTAATTTGGCCAAAAATTAGATTTTTAAACACTACATATTCGGAAAACTGTCGATTTAACTTTTGGTCTACACATACAATTTTAATACACAGGGATACCCCGTCCTTAAAGCACCATACTGTTACTACAGAAGAACCATATTATAATTATTCAGACTTACCCTTTCGGTGGGTATATCGTGAGACTTACCCAAACAGCACAGTACGTCTTAAGTACGTACAGTTTTGGTACTGTACGTACAGGACGTAAAATGTACGTTTTAAGTACGTACACAATAGTACGTACCAGTACGTACAGAAAAGTACGTACTAAGTACGTACCTAAGTGTACGTAATCCTGGTTGCATACCTATTTTATTAAAAAACCTATGCTTTTACCAAATTTCTGTTGACCGTAGGCCAAAAGATGCAAAGAAAAAAAGACGAAATCCAATTTATTTAACCTAACCTAAACTCTAAACTAAACTCGCTCGTTTTTTTTAAGTGTTGCAGGCAACCACGTTTTAACAGATTGTTTTTGTTAGTTTTTCATGTTTAAGGATTTAACTATTAAGTGTTTCATTAAATAAATAATTGTGTATAATTTATTATAATTGAACAAGACAGTTCTTTAGACTTTTTAGTGCGTGTTATAAGTACATAGTTTCGTCATTTTATTCTGGTGAGTGGTTTCATTTTAATTTTAAAAAATTATGTGTAATAAATATAATTTATAGATATGTCATCCCATCCGATACTAAACATTACAAAGATGCTACAAAACAATTAAAAAAGTTTAAGGAAATTAATAAATATTTTAGAGAAAAGAAGTGATATTTTATAGACCCTAATAATTTAATTTTGGATTTTGTCAAAAGGAGTATTGCTGGTGCCTTAATAACTAGTAAGCTGGCAACAAATTATAATTGGCTGCAGTTGAAGTGGGTAAGATGTTTTAATTTTTTATTTTTGCATGCCAGTTATCATAAAGTCATTGCATTAAAACCTCTCAATCCAGTCAAAATTATTTTTGTATCTAATGAAATTGTGTTCTTCCATCCATTGGACTTCAAAACTGACGTCGATATAGCTTAACAAAAAGAAATATAGGTGTTCCGATATTATAGAACAGTGGCAGAAACGAATTGGTTTTCAAAGGCATAAGGCCAAAACAGGTGGATACAAATGAGAGAGGTTTAGATCCAGGAGTATATTGACAATGATAATTTTGAACTGTGGAAACTATCGCTTACTTTACATCTTTTTGTTGTATTGTTTTTATTATATTGTTTATTATAAAAAGTACCAAAGTTAAGTTTCTAATTTGATATTATTTCTTTGCAGAAGGTTCTATAAAAAGTAGCAAATGGAAAGAGAAGAAGTTTGTAGAACAGGAAAATTGTGAGATGGCTAAGAAGAGCTGGTGATCGCCTAAAAACTTTCAAAAAGATAGCAAAACAATTTAAATTATTCTTTTAATGTAAAAAATTAAATAAATACAAATTAACTTGTTTACTTTTCTTTTTAATGCACTAATACGTACATTATACATCATAAGTAAGTACCAATAAAATATGTACTCTATTGGAATAAGTACAAAGATAGTACGTACATTAAGTACGTACACAGTATGTACATTAGGTACGTATAGAGTACGTACATGAGGTACGTACAGAGTACGTACAGAGTACGTACTTTAAGTACGTACTTTAAGTACGTACTAGGTA